TGCGCGCCACCCGGGCCAGGCAGAAGGAGGGCCAGCCGGCAGCAGCAGCCGCCACCGCCCCAGGCTGCCCCTCGCCCCCATCCCTCGCCCGCTGCGGGGTGGCCGCGCCTGCCTGCTCCGCGTCCCTCTGCAGAGACGATGCGACGCTGCTGCGCTCTGCGCCGAGCCAGGGCGGAGGCAGAGGGCCCGGGTCACGTGTGAAAGCGGCGCAGGGCGGCAGCGGGGCACGGACCCCCGCTGCGGGGCGCAGGAAGGGGAAGAGGCGCCCGCGGGGCAGAGCGAACACCTGGGGGGTGGGAAACCACCCACAGCCGCCCTGGCGCGCTCTGAGGTTTTACTCCGAGCTCAGCAAGCGACACGGGGGCGTGCGGACAGAAAGGCGCATCTTCAGTTCTCCGAGAAGGGCTTTTAATGAGATTTGTGACAATCCCCAGTGCTGGGGTGACCCGTTCCCACCACCTCTATTAGCAGGACGGGATAACTCCGCTCCCACCACCATCGCTGCGGGGCTGTCAGTCCCCGGCCAGGCTGCAAAGCCGGCCCCCAGCCACCCCCGGTCCCTCAGCTCTTCGCTTTGGAGGCCGCGGCAGTCCTGGTTTTGCTCCCTGCCCGCCGGGACACCCTCAGGCTGTCCACGAGCCGGTCGAAGAAGAACTCGGTCTGGTACTCCAGCTCAATGAGGTGCCGCAGGAAGGGAGGCACCTCGGCTTTCTTCACGCCCACGTACACGGGGATCATCTTGGTCCCGCAGCAGTGGATGATGTGATACAGGTTCCATTCGGAAACGCGCTGGCACCAGGGGTCACCCAGGGACTTGGCGGAGAGGAGGAGGATGGCCACCCGGCTAGCCTCGATGACCTCGACGGCGGTCAGGACGATGGACGTCCCGGCCACTTGGTCCTGGTGCTCTGCGTAGCCCCGAAATCCCTCATTCTTCAAGCGCTCCAAGATGCGGGAGGCGACGTGGTCGTCCTCGGGGCAGTACCAGATGGAAAAGTCATAGGTGAAGCTGCGGCGCGAGGGTGTGGACGACATGCCACCCACCGGGGACAAGGGCATCGACTTCACGGACAGCACGGAACCGAGCCTTTCCTCCCGCACCAGGAACCTGCTGCCGCGCCCTGACGGCCCGGCACCGGCACCAGGTCCCGCCACTCCCCGGGGAAAGGTCGGGCTGCCAAGGCGGCACAGCCCCGGCCCTCTCGCGCAGCCGTGAGGCTCCTGTAAATCCAACGCAATCGGTTCTACCCCCGATTCGGGCAGGCGAAACCGCAACCGCGGGGCGTCCCGAGGCGCCCGCCGCACTCCAGGGTGCCCGTGGAGAAAAGCCCCGAGCCCCGGCGCTGCCCGCAGGGAGGCCGCCGGCCTCAGAAAGCTTTCTGCCTCATTTCCGAAATGCCGCGCTCCAGCGCCGCTCCCGCCTGCTGCAGCTCCTCGCGCCGCTCCCGCAGCCGCTCCCGGGATTCCCGCCGTCGCTGGGTCCTCCTCACCGAGG